ATTTTATAGAGTTCACAGCTGCTCTCTCTCTCAACTTATTCAGGCATAAAATCATGCTGAAAGCCATGGTTAGCCTGAGGGCAAATCGAGTATGGGAATTGTCAACGTAGAGTTAGTCGTTCTTCTAATCTTTTTAGATTTTGGTCACGCACTTCTTTCAAATGAGATTTTGCTCAGACAAAGACACATTTGTTGGCTGTCGAATTTGATTCAGTGTGGGTGAGTACACTGTCCTTAGTTTGGAATTCACTTTGAAGACGAGTGGGCTGGAATGGATGACGCGAAAACACTAGAAAGAACATTTAGGTTGAAGATGTTGCAAGGTGTTTTGGGTTTCCTAATTTTCAAGTCTCGGAGTACCTCTTGTTCAGTTCATTAGGAAACCCCGGGAAAAGAAAACAAAATGCAGTGAGAATTGGTTGTATGTTTTAGACTTCAATATTTTTGTCAATCAAAATTACTTCTTATACGAAAGGAATTCATGAGGAAGTGAAATAAATCTCCTCAAAATTGAATTTTTTCTAGAGAAGTTTACTAACATAGTTTACTAATATAACATCATACTTATCCGTCTAAGGAAAGGAACGAAGCGTATACTTCCCTTTTTCTATTGTTTTTGTTTTTACTAATTTTTTTCGTAGTCCTTATCTTGTTGTTTTTGTTTCTATAGATCAATAATTTCATGGAAACTTTCAAACTTTTTGCAAATAAACATTTTTTGATTGCCATGGAAAGGCAACAAAAATTTATTTGTTTTTATTTGTTTTTCAGTCAATGGGATGAGAACAGTTGCACCATATGAACCCTAATTGTTACTTATTCATGAGCTTTTTTTCGTTCTTGCGGTATTCACCTAGTCAGAAATTCAACAAAAAATATAGCGATAAACGCTCTCTAAATTATTACATTCAGTAAAAAAAAGCTGAAAATCGATATTTCCGAAATACAGAGAGTAACAAATGTTTCAAACAAGAAAGTGCATCAAACAGTCAATACTCAGAAAGAGGATGAAAGTTAATCCTAGGAAGTGTCTGCTGTCCGGTAATTGATCGCAAGTGTGCCAACAAGCACATAATAGCTACTTTTCAAACAGAATCAGCCTTTGTCGAAATATTGATTAAGTCCAAAATTTAGGAAGAAATTGACTCAAATCAGAATTTATCGGTACTTATTGCAAAATTTTGGAAAATTTTGAAGCCATATTGCTTGTACGGAAGGTGTTCGTGAAGGCTTCAGTTTCCTTAGGCAGTGAAGGAAGAAGCGAGGATTCATGAACATGGCTTAAAATATAATTTGAAAAATATTAAAAATTTTATAAATTGTCTTATAGGGTTGCACAAATCTCAGAAAAAATCTTCTTGCCACCTCACCTCCCAACTTCACCAATTGTTGCTCTTGAAAAGAGAAAGATGATGAACAGCTGACTCCGCTTACTGCGACTTTTTTGTCCAAAAAAAAACGTGACAGACAGCTTTGCCACCTACCAAGCTCTCTTTCTCGAACCTTGGTCAACGATATTTACCTCGAACATAATGTGTTTTCATGTCATTATCCATTGGATATTTTTCCAGCACAATGACGGCAATGATATGTAGAACCAGCCACCTAGCGCCATGCAATGCATAAATGACATATTATTGCTCGAGCAATGGCCTCTTTGCGCATTTTTGCGACGGAGAAATGTTCAATCAGATTTTTAGATAGCCTGGTATCAGTACACAGTTTTTTTAAATACCCTGGGTGGAAAATGACGTCACAACCCCCAACCTTCTGCTTAAATGAGTCATTCTTTCCAACATTACAAGTCATTGAGGGAGTTTGCTCCACACCCACTACAAATGCCTTCATAACTACAAAAAATTGTCCAGAGCGAAGGAATTGGCTCCAATTATTTGCCGTCGAGGAAAGAATGCGATCAATGCCCGAGTAAACGTAAAATACATAAACGACACGCAATACGTCTTTTTCTATTGGGCTACTGTGCAAACAAATCCCGGGGAAAGCATTTCGGGCGGATGGCTCGGGAAAGCTCTTTCTGGGGGCATAACGAAAAGAAGAAGATATTCCGGTGCTAAGCAAGAAATTATGGTAAAAAATTAAACTCAGTGTATTAAAGTATTTTCTTATTTGCAAAAATTCAGGCATATTTATAAATTGAATGCTCCTAAAATGATTTTAGAGGTCTTGTCAATAGCACAAGCATCTATTGAGGAGTTTTGTGAGAAAAAAATTTGTAGATAACGAAACAAGGAAAAGAATTGCTATTGTTGAGTTTAATGAATCCATTCGGAAAAAAGGATATCAAAGAATTAAACTTCTCTATGTTGGCTCTTTGCAAATTTCTATCCTAGGAAACATTTCTCAATAAATGTTGAGCGACTGACATTATACTTTTACATTTCTAAATCAAGTTTCTACAACGAGCACATGATTTCCCATAAATTTCAGAACGGATTCGGAGGTGATAAAAATTGATTCTTAGCATGGTGGTGAAATTTTGCAAAATAATGGAGGTACTCAAAAAATATCACATTTGTCAAAATGCAAGTAAAAACAAATTTATCAGGATATACCAATATCAAAAAAGCAAAAATAACTTGAAGTTGGATATTTAGGCTATCCAATTATTCTGAAATTTGATGATAAAATCTGTATTCACTTGCGTTTTAGTAATTTGTTTGCTAATGCTTCCGGTGAAGAGAGATTCCAGTCAAACTTTACGATAAAATTTTACGATTTTTGCAACATTTTGGAAACAATATTATCTACCACTTATATGGGGTATTTTGGTCTTCCCGCCCCAATACCCCCTTGCTCGCCACTGTGCACTTAAAGCTCACATCTAGTGTTTAATCGACGATGTATTGAAAGCAATCCATCTTTCAATTAAGCACGGAAGCCAGCTCGTTTTTTGCCGGGTGCGTGCGAAACGATCTCGTCTCATCACTTATTAACGACGGGAAACTCTCGTTCCCGAGCTGTTTCCGCCCGATTTAATTGTTGCATACGCGGGGCGCCGGAGAGCCGTGATAGATGCTCGGCTATGCTGGCAGCTTGGGGCTCGCATATCGAGAAGGAAGCGGGGGGGGGAGGGGATACACTCCCCCTTGTACCACTCATATAGCTTCCAGGAAGCCAAAAAAATTCTTTGCATATGAATGGAAATTGATTGCACTTACGGGGATTATATTTCAAGGCCATTTTACCTGGCGGGGATAAAATATCTGCCGTGGGGCATTAAGAGTAGTAGGGGAACTTTTTGACTCCCTGACCCCCGGAAAATCTGTTATTCTCCCCCAACTACCAGGTAATATATCCGTGACAAGCTCGCGATCACATTTCCGACAATTTATGACCGTGTCAGAACCAGTAGTTTATGCGAAGAATACTAGTTCCAGGGACTCTATCCACTCAACAAAGCACTGCGGATTTGTTTTTCGGCCCCAGGTAGGCAGTCCAACACAACAGGAAACGAATCTGCTAGGCCAGCAATAATCTCGGAATGCTAACCGCATGATGGACAACAACCGAATAGGGATCGTAGCAAGACGGGGGAGGGGGGGGGGAGAGATGAACTACTCATATTCGCAGCAATTAGACATGTTTTTAACTTTTGCTTATGCGCAAAGGTTCGTTAGCATAGATCTAGCCATATCACTACCTCCCTCTCGGGCCCCCGTCAGAATCTCGCACTTAGAAGTCCCCCCCCCCCCCTTTCCCATTCCTCCGTGAAATTTAATTGAGGATGTGCAACAATGAAAGTGCGATTGTGTGAGCGGAACGAGATTTGACATCGATGCTCGCTCGGACTCGCAAAACTCAAGCCGCCCTGCTATTCTCACTCCCCCCCCCCCCCGGCCCCCGTCCTAGGCGCAGATCGATTCAAAATCTCAGCTGATAGCAGTAGTGTTACGAGTGAGAGTGGATAAAAGCCATGGATCTGTGGAAAGCTGGCATCCGGTCGCATCTCTCTCGACCCATCAACAAACGGCTAATTACGAGCACTTAATGTGGGAGCAGCGCAAATAAGATGAGGAAAATCTTGAGATGAGGGATTTTGATTTATTTTTGCAGCATTTTTCAGTCAAAAGTGGGCTGAAGAAAGCCAAGAGGTCATCAAGGTCATCTGAGAGAAGAAATTTTTGCAAAAGATCTGCATTTATTTAGAATTTATTTGCACGCAGACAAGATGAAGAGCGCGAGAAAAAAGAAAATATTGATGATGATGATGTCAACGGTCGAGGGCAACATTCTAAAAAAATTTCAGAAGGTACACGGTCAAAAAAATTATTGAAAAGGGTATCAATTTTCATACTTCATTTCAGAAAAAATGCGACTCCTGTAAAAACAAATACTGCAGTTTTTACAAAAATATCGTATAAAAAATCTAAATTTCAGGGTTGATTATCTATTTGTTAGAAAGAAGGAATCTGATATTGAATATCTATGATAGTTGGGTTTACCTTTGTTTATGCAATATGACATGATCAAGAACTCTGATTAAACTCAATTCAAGTAAAAAGTTCTCTCGAAGCTACCACTTTAAATTTGAAAAGATGCCATGTTCAGAAAAAGGATTTATTTCGGAATTTTTGAAAATAGTCTAGGCTTTAGTCACATTGCATTCTATTTATCCTAGTCAGAATGAAGAATTCAATAACTATATCAAAGCAAAAGCAAAAATGAATGCGAATGCTCGATTCATTCTTCTCGAAAATGGGGAAAAGGCCGCTGATAAAAACCCTAAGCGCCTCGGCACATAATACGCGCCTCATGGAATGTGCAAAAATTCGTGCCAATGCACTCGAGCGATGACATATTCAGTGCAAAATGCATACTTTTGCCACACAAGGGCCTAGTCTCTTAATTAACACACACAGATGACGGGGCAGCAGTGTCGAGGCTGAGGACGTTGTTTAAAAAGTGGCGAAAACAACGAAACGAGTGAGCGATCAGAGGGGAACGCGACACGAACAGAGGAGAATGTGTATTGAACTCACTGTTTGATGAAGTTGTGGAATTCTTCATCAGCAACTTCTTGTCGTTCTTTCTCCCAATCGGCTAATGAACAGCAGAAGATGCCGTGTTTCTCGCGATAAGTGCCAGTGGTAGGCGGCAGTTTTGACGTGCAACAATAGATGAACGACGGGTCGGCCTTGAAATCGGGGCAGGTTTTGTTTCGCGCAGGTAGACCTGAAGAAAATGCTTGGGAAATGTGGGAAAGAGGTTTTAATAGGACCTGAAAAAGGTATTTTTCGGGCGCACCTCCACTGGAAGGGACCGGACAGATCAGCGCGATTGTGGACCGGACGAGGTAAAGGCCAAAAAGTGCGGTGAATCGCGATGTTCGGCACATGGCGAAGCGGGGACGAGCAGGACGAGCGCGGGTTCCAGCGCGGCGGAGGCAGGCGACCGGCGCAAGATACTGGCCTCTGCTGCCGCGCCCCGCCCCCCGCCCGCTAGAGTTGCCGACGTCGTCGCGGGCGACGGTGACGTCGCCGCGATGAGTGCATCGGCCCATGGGTTCGTCAGCTCCCCGGGGCCCGCGCATGGTCTCCCCGAACAGCCCCAGCCAGCTCAGAGACGAAAGCTGTCAAAGCTGAAGAGAAATTCACATGACTAAACCCAAGCCCAATCTCAGAGCCAGTAACAGTTGTCCAAGCACCAACCGCACATCAATCATAACAGCCTCCCGTTTACAGTGAAGTTCTTCGCAGCCGATTGGTCTCCATCTCCTCACCTCTGATCCAGCGCATATCCTCGAAGCGCTTTGTGCCCCCTCTGCTCCCCTAGGCAAAATATTTGCTCTGAAGCAAGCAATAAGCGCTCTGAGCAGGGACGACTTATGTCGCATGTTCACTCGACATTTGACGAGTAGCAATATGACTGCCTCAGTTATTAAGCCATTGCCTGCCACATTTTTTCTTGACGTACTTTGCCTAGCGTTCTCAATAACTGAATGCTAACTCACACGTTCATCAGTCATGGCTCGTTAATTCGATTTGAGAAAGAAAGGAAACTGAAAGTATCAAGATGCAAAAGAAAAGAAAAGTTGAGTGTGAAACTGCAAAAGAAATTATAGGAAATTTATGTCTGTCGGTAGTTTGTGGCACTCAAAAATGTGCCGCTCCAGTTTATTATTTGTTTTGTGTGGTGGGTTGAAATATGCGCAAACCATTCCATCATTCCCTGCAAATCTTCAAAAAACTACCCAAGCTCGAAAAATCTTATAGGTGATCTATTGACAAACTTATTTCACGAGATTCTCACCGGAATGATGTATAAACTAAATTTATAGTGACTGCCACTCAACACAACAGTTTGATGAAAAGTATATAAAAGAATATCACGGCCAAATGCCCACGAAAGTAGAAAATTTTGTCTCTACTTTCAATCAAAAGCTTCAAAGTGGCAGGTAAATTCCTGAGGATGTGGTTAACAATCTTAAAGGAGTATTGTGACTACATACCCGAACTATATTATTCATTATTTTGTCTGAGCTTTCTATACCTTTCATACTTTATTAAAACAATTAGCACAGAGCTATATAATTTCCCTATCTGCTCTTTATTCCCACTGTCGCATTTTGCACTTTGGTTCCATTTACGCAAATTCATACATTCTGCATTGGATGGTATAACGACTACATAACTAACCAACAGCAATTCTTTTGGAAAATAAAATAGCTGGGGAGCCAAATTTTCCTCATAGAATTTTTTTTCAAAGGTCGAATGAAATGACTTTTGCTTTAAGATAATGCTATTCATTTTTTCTACCAATATCAACCTAGCATAACAAGATCAGATTTGAAAAAACTTTTCGTCACCAAAAATTTACAAAAGGACGTTTTTGCAGGATAATGAGCACTTCTAGATAATTCGCAAGTAAGACATTTTGTTAGAAGTGGCAGTAATTTCACGCTCTGAAGGTAGTTTCAACTCACTTCCTTGAAGTACACTCAAAGGTGGGCCAAAAAAATTTGGTTTTGGTTAAAATTTGCTTCCAGGTGGAATATTTCTCTATGTTAAGCAATCCTGTATAGCACTCACAACCAAGTCTCAAAACCACTGCCATTGCGCGATCAAATGCTCTGACGCAGAAAAACTCGAATAGATTGTGTGTCCGTGGTGAATGGTGCTTGAAATCGGCACTTCTCATGTGCAGCTGGCAATTTCATGGCAATGACACTGTTCTCGACGTCAATCTCACGCTGTTTTGTTGACACATTTTGCGCCATGGTAGCTCTGGCAAAGAGGCCATCTGCCATGCCCTGTGCCTCAAAGGTTTTTCTATACAAACACACACAGAGAGAGATGGAAGCCGCTCACCGGAAATTAGAAGTGAGCAGCAGCACACTTCGTTTACTTTGCTGAATGAGGAACGGACCAGGAATCCCCGCTCTTCCTCTACGATGTTGTTTTGAGCAACACTCAGCCAGGATGCTTTCATTATGGCCATGTTCGCACATTCAACCAAGCGGAAGGAGGACAGAGCAGAAGCAATAAATACGTTTGTTATTTTGTTACTTCGTAAATCCAAAGAAATGGAATGCAAGGAAACTTGCCGAACAAATAATAAAATGCAAGCAAAATCGCAGAACAGATAAAATCTCCAGTCAATGACAAGTTTGAGAGATTAACCGCTTAAATATTTACATTTGTGAACAAAAAATCTAAAGTGTAGACAATCTTGCGGGTTTTCAGCTATTTGAATGTATTGCATATCTCCCGAAACTACTGACTTTCTACAACCCTCATGTGAAACTCCAGGTTCTTTTCCCAAATCCATAACAGTAGATGTGCAATAAAAAATCGCACATGATTTGCTAGAAACGACTTTCTACGCAAACTTTTTAGCAAAATATAATAACCAACATTCGCCATGGATGGCTTCTGAAAAAAATCAAGAGAGTCTTATCCCAATAGCCCCACAAGGCAATAGTGCTGATCAACTGCTACTCTTTAGTTTTGCATTGGTCATTGCAAAGAAATAAAAAGTTGAAGAAGTCTGTGTGCGATGAAATTGGTGCTTTGCAAGTTCTGAAATTATCCAGCCTGGTCATAGCTTCTAGTTTCAAGCCTAACAATAGTTTGCCGAAAAGAAGCGCCGTCAAAAATTTCTTCTTCTTAGTCTCATACTGCGAGAATTTGCATCCAGTCAATCTTGGTCAGCAAAAATGAAAAAATGTTCTGTCGTCAAATGGTGCTTCGACTCTCGTCGAAGCTACGAAAGATAGCCTCATTTCTTCTTTTCAAAACTGTTCATTATTACAATAAATTTTATAACAGGGAGAGATTAGTAACATATGAAGAACTGGGAACTGAAGGATGACCGCATGGTAAAAAATGATAAGAAAATTTTTTCTTTTTAGGACTATCAGTTGGCATACTCGGCCCCGCCCCTGTCAATATAAACGATTACTATATTCGTAATCAGCATGCTCACTTACCGTTCTCCCCTCCCCCCCCCCCCCATGCCAAATCCCAGCTCCGTGGCTTATTTTGTAAAAATCGATAAAATCGATATCGATCAATAACAAAAGGTGCCCTCCCTCAATTTGGACATACGAAAAAAACGTTAGTATATCGCATTCTGTGATACTATTTTGTAAAACTATGGAATTTCCACAAGTATTTCTCCATGCAGAACTCGGCTGGTGCTTGAAGCAGCAATCCTTGCACATTACGATTCAGAATTACATTTCTGAGCGATGCGGTTGAGTAGTTCTGTAGCAAATTCTATTGTGCTCCCTATCTCAAAATCTATGCATTCGTATCTGCAGCAAAGGCCTCGTTAGCCCGCAATTGACAACTTTCGTCAATCAAATTACACGGCTCTTCTGAATCTCCTCACGTTTGCAATAGTTGACAACTGAACGGCACAAAGGAGCGGAACGGAGACGTTGATAATTCTATATTCAAAGGTCTAAGGACTTTTGCAAGCAGATATCAAAAAAATGCCTATCCTTCTCACTTCTCCCCAACACTTCTTTCTATAAGTAATGCATGGAAGTTACTTGGAGGTGATATTTCGAGACTAGGCTCCCTACTTGTAGAGGATGTAATTTATAGACGAACCTAATACAAAGTTCCGCTATGCGTGGACATCCATTTATACATACCTATATCAGAACCTTCTCAAAATCGCAGTTGGAATTTCTATACATACATAGAATAGGTTGTTACATATCGTATATGGATAGAAACAAAAAATCCCAGAAAGACGGAGGATCCATACATGACCTTATATCTATGAGATCTTGGAGTCTTTCTATTATAGTTATGTGGATAAAGAATAGCACATTCGGCTGCTTTTTTTTTCACATTCTTCGCCATGGAGCTATTTTTACAGCTATCTTCTAAACACAGAAATGGTGCTACATTTTATCAAAACGTTTGTTTCGTTGTTCTTGTCTGTTCTTGCGGTTCATATGTCACAGTGGTATCCACTGGTCTTTGGATATGAAATTGTTATGATGATCAGTGTTTCCCTCGTTGTCTTCCATTCCAAGGACACCGATGAGGTGTGTAAAAAATTCTAGCAAATGGTACTCACTTTTCCAGGAGTCGAAGAGTGTTTTTTGTTTCTTTGGGTGTTAACAACATTCACAATCCAAATGCTGCTATCCATTATGTACAGTTGATGTTCAACAAGTTTTCAACGACTTGCTCCATTTCCGAGATATTTATCATGCGCAAGACAATACTGCCCAGAGTTTAACTTCCCAGATTATCCATTTCTCGAATCGTTCGGGTCGCCTCAGTGAGCAACAAAGGGAGGGAATCCTCACAAAATCATTACTAGTTATCTAGGACGCGAATTTAACAAAGTTTTTACAATTCACACCGAATAGATACATATTATCTTTCCGATTTTCTGAATAACGGAGCGTATTACATAAAAAGTTCAAAGGAGATCAGTTTTTTGAATTCGTCTGAGCAAAATTTTCTCAAACAAAACCAGATTTCTTTGAACATAATTTAATTGCCAAACTCATGTGATATAGGTCACTCGTACTATCTCCATGTCTCACAAAGTCCAGCATTGGTACAAATTCAGACTCGATGGTGGTGCAGCTGAACTATCACTATTTTAATCAACTTTGATAGCCCATAAAACACTGGGTGCTAAGTTAGCTATGCATGTCCTGTTTGAACTTTACGTCAGAACAGAGGGAATCAAAGCTTCACGCTGCTGACCAAAGAAGCATCAAAATTGTGCAAGCGTCGAATTATAATAAGCAGATGATGGAATGTCATGCAACCAAATTCTTCAGGTTCCAATTTTTCGAAGGAATGTGAAGATTGCATGAGGATGCTTCTTTAGGGAATTTGTGTAAGCAAAGACTGATATATGAAACCCAAGACATTAATTTTACAGCTGCAGATAGACTCAAAATAAAATTTGTCACTTGGGAGATTGGGAAACTTGAGATACTATGTAAATCTTTGCACATTTCCGACATTTGCATTAGCTTTTGATTTCGATTACGAAAACAGAGACCATCATTTTGGACAAATGCTATTAGTTTCAAACTTGGGTCATTCCCTGTTTTCTCGAACTGTCATAAAAATATGTGGAATAAAGACGGGCACACTTCAAAAATTATTCAGTGCATCTCTTTACATTTAAATAGTCATATTACCAAATTTGCTCTTGTGTTCTTTGAAACATGTAATTCTCAAAACATCCTACCCATAGTTTCGCCACAAGTTTGGCAATTTTTGGAATTTTTCGGTCTTAATTTCTGGTAAAGCTGTGATAACAGATAAAGAGAGTAAGCGACTGCAGGACAACAAATTTTTAGATATCTCCGACTAGCTTTCCAGTATTTTTTAAGATGATTTTTCAAAAGTAATCACTTTTGCAAAGTCGTACGATCAGAACGCATCAAACACCGAGAAATTCTCGGATTTCAAAAGTTTCAAAAGGAGATTATCATTTGATACTAACTTTGCAAAGCACTTGAGCATTTTTGCTTTGAAATATCGAGTTTTCAACTTCAGAACAGTCAAGGCGCGTTCAAAAATTCAAAATTTGTTAGATTTTATCTTCGAAAGTCTTCAAAAATCAGGAGGATTAAATACCTTTCAGACAGAAGAGAGAATGCTGCATCAAACAATGCCCCTGTTGTCGTCGATTGATGTTTTGTTAGTCTTGGCTAAACTAAATATGGAATTTGTTATCATCAAAAAAATTCTGGTAAATTTGAAAGACGAGCTGGAGGTGCCAAAAAACTTTATTGTCTTGCACTCTGCTTGCTCTATTCAGCAGTTAAGTAAACTCTTCCAAAAAATTCGGAATAAAAATATAGAACTGCCAAACTGGTTTGACTGCTGGGAAGAGGGAAATACCGCGTATAGTCTTTGAGGTGTCTGCTCATCTTTACCCCATTTTTACGATAGATCGAGATGACGAATAGAACTTTCGATACGACCTAATATTTGACCTTTTGAAATAAGTCATTCATTCGAATTTCTCGCTATGACTGAAATTCGGTGTTTTCGATGGCCGATTCTCTAAACATAGTCTTAAAGTTCCTATTTGAAGGACAGGAAGTTGTTTAAGGTGATCGAACGAATTTCTCTCAGTTAAATACTGATTGTGAGTAGCTTGACAATGAACACGATATAACTTTTGCGCTACTGCTCACACTCAAACTATTTTAGCGTTTCTCGCGAGTTTTTTAAGCTTCAAGATATGGTTTTTACTCTAAAGCTTGCTCAACTGCGACATTTATTGTTTTCAATCGGGCAAAAAGCACCTTTTGGAGATCATAACAACCATGAAGAACAATACGATTTCTGCGACGGAAATCACAACCTGATTCGTTGTAAACAAGTTGTCGCCATGCGCACTCACCCTGCGAACTAAGAGGTAATAAAGGGTCGTTTTAGTCATATAACACCTTTTTTAGGGCCAATCAGAAGAATGGTTCTGCGCCGACTAATCCAAGTTAGGCATGGGTATTTGTCAAATCTGACTTAAAAATGTACAGATGATTTTGCATTACACAAGTGCATTTTCTCAGTCAATGGCTATGTTTATATTGCGATGTCTCGCGATGTTTTCCGACTCTCATATTTGTCAGCGTTCACATATTGTGCTGGGAGTCACAATCACAGGCCAACATAAAATGCTGAGCGTCTGCAAGAGTGCGAACTTTCTCAAGGGGAACCGATCAAATGCTTGAGATGAGAAGCAGTAACCTGAGAATGTTTTCCAGATGTCACATATTTATGATCAAGGATTGCAGGAGTCACGGTGCTCGAATGTCATATAGATAGCTAGAGAAGGGTTTCAATATTCAAACAACTGATTAGAGGAAGAAAATACTGTAACTCTTATGGTAAGCTAATGGCTCTCCTATCTCATTATTTCCGAATTGAAAAGCTTTGAAAGCAATCAATGGGTGCGTTGGGCAACGAACTCTCAGGGTTGAGTTTGCCCCGACTATAGCGAACAGTAACGGTAGTATTCAGAAGTAACAGCATCAAATTCGGGACCGTTATGTGTGGAATGTAGAAATTCACTAAGGGTGAGCAAGATATGCTTAATTTGGAGATTTAGAGGATGTAAATGAGCTCAGCCTCCACATTAGTACTTACCAGTGGCGGACCGAAGGTGGAGGTGCCTCTTTCCGACTGGGTCGCTAAAAATCAAAATTCACTTACATGGGTTATAAATATAAGCAAGTGCTTGTTTATTTTGAAAAATAATTTAGATAATCTTTCAATTTTTTAAAAACACAAAATACCCGTGTAAAAAAGATTTTTCCAGAGCAATGGTTGCCGCCACCTTCCCTTCTCCTAATTGTGGGGATTATAGGACGGCAAAACTTGAAAATAATTTGAATAGACACTTCACATGTCGGGATCTATTACAATGTTCACATTCCTGCGTTTAACTTCAGCGGAACATAGATGCAAAAACAAGTTTTGTGCAAGTTTAAATGAAACTACCAGAATCATTATGAACCACACTTTCATCCTCGATGGTCTGGGAAGAATAGGATGAACTGATTACTATTAGGTTGGCTAATAAATAAGTTCGGTCGCTTTTTCAGCTCTTACAAATGCTGTGGACAAATTTTTGCCCAATGTTTGATATCTCTGGAAAGAGCACTTCACTGGGTATTGGAGCTTATATTCTGTTTAAGTAAAACTTATCTTCCCAGGAAAAAAATCCGCAAGGGAGTGAAAAATCGCAACTTTCCCAATGCGCAAATATGAGGAATTTTGGTTTTCTTAGTGAAACATTTTCAAAATGGCAGATCACAGTTCTTTTTGTTGTTCACTAAATAGGGATAACTCCTCTGTATTCAAAAACCAAACTGCTGTTCTTTACATTACAGCATGGAAACGAAGCTCAAGAAGTCAAAGAATTGAGCTTTTGGAAATTTTGTGTCTCTAATGAGGATAGAAAATCCTGGTTGTTTGATTGTGATAGAGGAAGCTTCGCACTATTTTCCCGCAAAGAATCATAAATTGAAAACAACAAGAAAATTTTTTATGACAATTTGTATGCCAAAACGAACTTACTTTTTAGCCAACCTAATAGTTCTGTACGCATTGGACAAAGCTTTGTTACCAAAAACTGCATAACAGCAGTCAACTCTGATCAAACTGAGCGTAAAGTAGAATCATTTGGCACATTCACGAACACATTCATCATCACAGAAACAAGAACAAGTCGAGTTGATAAGTTCAGGACAAGAACATCAAGGCCACATATTACCACTACCTGGCGCAGTTTATTTTCCAGTTATTCCTACTTTCCGAGGGATGTTGGTAGATTTTAGGCAAAGGAAAAGGATATGAAAATGTGCTAATGGGATTTTTACTTCGGAGATTCTTGTGACTTGGGCACAAACTCAAACTTCTTTGGTCGTAGTCCTATTTGAAAATAATGATTTTAGCCATAATGAAACCTTTAAAATGACTTTGGCGGAATAATTTCGAGCGATCTCGATAAGAAAGGAAGCCTAGCACTTTAAACAAATTTCTGACAAACAGCAAATCGACTGGTGATTCCAAAAAACTCTAGGTTATGAGTTGGAAAATTTTTATCACAGTTTAAATAGTAATTAAAAAGTGACAAGGAACGACAATGACTCAACAATCTGAGTATGTGATAAATGTCTGGTTGGAAGACTAGCAAAAAAACAAGATGAAGATAAATTCAAGTCACACTGACCTAGGCAGATCAAAAAAAAAATCATACGTTACACGTAGGGTTTACTTTGAACTCTAATTCAAGAAAAAACTGCACAAAACTCAACTACAGACCGTCTGTCGTCAATTCGCCCTACATGAAACAACGAAACGAAATGATTGACTCAGACATTTCTCATAGCATCTCTATACTGCGCTGCCTCAGCGCTCATCTCCTCTTGAGACCGGGGTTGAACTGTGGAGTCTCTGTAATGATTCTCCTAACATCAAACAAAGCTCCCTGTGTTCTAATAACGGACTTATCATGCTTCTCCAGAGTCTGGTACATATTGTCAGGGCAGTCACCAAAGTCTCCTTTCCGACGAGCTAGCACGTGCACATGGACATGCTGTAATAGTGATATCCATGAAAACTATCCTTTGCCGATAAGGATACAAAGTAATGACAACTCCTTAAAGGCAGTCTCTCGGTAAAATGCAAATGTTTTCCAGATTTTCACCTTTTTGCAGCCTTCTTGCATAAGGAACCCATATATGAACTTTTTAGCGCATGAAAATGGCGAAATCGAGCTTTTCCAAAGCTTTTCAGGCCCGCATTCAATGGAGAATACGTGCAAGGGGCAGGGCACGGAACGAGGGAGGCGGAGCGCGGAAGACTTCCGGCGTATCTTCACTGGATGCGGACCTGGAAAGCTTCGGAGAAAGCTCATTTTCGCCATTTCCATAGGCTGAAAACCCCAGATGTGGAGTCATGGCGAAAAGGCCCCGAAAAGATGAAAAACGAAGAACGAAATTGCCGAGACACTGCCTTTAATTGGTGTACAACAAAAACTTTCACTTGGTAATCTAAATCTTCTTACTAGAAGATCTGCTGCACCCACTCTAAAGAAGTTATTCAGATTGTAATTCAAATTAGCAGACTGTTACCATAGCTAGAGGCCACAAACAAAACATATACGAATCAAATCAGCTTTGAAAAAAAAAAATCTTTTTTAGAAAACCTCTGTATCTTCTCAGCACGGTTTTCGCAGGACGTGGCTACTCGAAAAGAAGGTCCCCTTCCCCACACCCAGTAACATTTTTCTTGGACAATCAACACATCAACCTATGCCTCAAATTACAAAATTACAGTAGGTTCATGAGAGTGCAAACTTTAGAGTCACAGCAAATACCGTCGATTGAACCGACAAGGACCACAAATTATGCTCACCTTCACTGTTTGCCCAGCTTCTTCTCCGTCTTGGATGCATACAGAGGACGACGAGACATTGTGGAACTGAATGAATTTTTTCAACCACCACAAAATTTTGTATTTGGTTCTAGGAGCAGAATCAAGAGACCATCATCATTTCTTGTAAATTTCCAAAGCAAGAGGGACTCAGGTCCAGAAAATTCCGTCATAAAGCGGAGATTCACAGCCTGTCACAATAAAAGCAGCGGAAAGCTCCAGTTTACCAGAAAAACCAAATCTGTCAGAACGCCAGAAAATGGAGTTGTTGACTACATTTTTTATGTGGTACTAGCTGGATTCCACGACTTTTACTACGACCATTACTTTTACTTTCATTACTTTCTACATTTAAATGAAGAGGATACTATTGAGTTAGCTACTGAGGTTGATTTCAATGCTTCTTGTCTATTCTCTTTGCAGATAAGGTCAACGTTGAGCTAAGGTCACAATGTTCACCAAGATCTTCTTTACCTGCCCATAGGTCTAGATAATTCTGAACTTTTCCTAAAGCCCAAAATTCACTGAGGCATGCAACTCGCATTGGATTAGCTGTGACAAGGAAAAAAATCCAATGTATCTGTTCTTTAACACTTTTGACTACGAGGACAAGAATATGTGTCTGCACAACGTGAACATAAGTCTGAAATTTGCAAAAGCACTAAAATCTAATCTTATCTGAAGTGGACGCATATTTTGATATACGATGACCCCGAGCCTGTTAGACTCCCTAGTCAACATTTGCATGTAAAGTTGCATGATTATATCAGGTTGGCGCAATACAAAAGGGATTCTAAGTTTGTGCAAATCTTTAACCTAAATGCAAAGTTTCGCACTCAAAAAATGGAAAGGAACCACTGCTTTAAGTTGAGTTTGTAAAAGGAACTTCTTCTTGTTGTCTAGCCTCGGAGAGGCAAGCTTCAAATCAGTACTCCAAATGCGATTTCGAGCTTGCCGTAAAGAACACTGGAGTGCCCCAGTCCCAGAAAATATGTGAAAGTTTCTCAAATAGCAATAGTGCCTACATCTTTGTCGGAGGCTTTGAATTCTTAAGGAAATGCAATTGAAAAAAACATGAAAAACATCATTTTGCAGGAGAAAATTTCGCACCATCATATCTTCTAAAAGAAAGAGGGCCGAGACCAGAAATTGGACAACTGCTCACAAAAACATATTTATTTTTTTCTGAGTGCCATGCAGTGTCCTTGCTCAGAAACTGCAGTAAAAATGGGATTCCTATAAAATGACATTCTTCACGAATTTTCCGATTTTGCATTTCCATGGGATTCCATACTTTACTGTGGCATTTCCATGCCACAGTAAAGCATGACTACTGCTCGGAGTTTCCTCAGAATTTTTTGGGCTAGCTAGCCGCACTCATATTTTTTTGAGTGCCAAAGACATCATGAACTTCGACGTGTCGCTTTCGGATGCTTGGTTATCCGAGGATGGGCAATGAAGAATCTTCAAATACTTTATAAGCAAAATTTCTTTTAGTTTTGAATACCTTGATTCATGTTTAGAATTCAAGAAGTAGTGGAATTCTTTTCAGTTGAATTCATGCCAACATCGTTTATTGGAACTAATTTTTCGAAAATTTAAAGAATTCTAAGAGGACTCCTGGCATTCTGCTTTTCTGCAACATTTTAAAGAAAAAGATACCGAGCATCCGATTCATTTTAATTTACTTTCCAATGGTATCATACATTCACGCATAAATCTGTTACATTTCCATAGTTGAAAGCGACCGAAAATTATTGGCCAAGATATATTTTCTTGATGAGAAAAGCACATGTAAGAGCACGGAACTGATTTTCTTGCATTCAGAACTCAGATGTCTTGACTTTATATTAAATCTGGAAACGACAGTTCTGCGCTTCCCTAGAGAAATTTAGTGTAGTCTATATAAAGATGTTTGTAGATGGCCTAGTGTCACAATCAGCGTTCCCGTTAGTTCAGCTGCTTTTTTCTTGAGAAAAATAGTAGATTACGAGGAGAGCTGTGCGTTAATAAGATGATTACATGTGAGTGCGTCTTGGCTGCCGAATTATTCGGTCAGATTCAGCTGATCAATCTACCTTTTAATGGATAGCTGGAACACAAGTGGGTAGAGTTAGCGCAGGATTCGAGAAAAGCGGTAAATGTTATAGATCATACTTTTCCATACCTGGGATCTGTGCATCGCGTCGTGCTAAATATTACAAACCTTTTCTAACATCCGTTGAACCTTTTTAGCAACTATGAACAGGTCAGCAGTCTCTGCATCAGTCAGATCTGTGAGGTGATGGCAAATCCGTTTAGGAGAAATGAGCACGTCTGAACAGATTTTCTTTGAAAAGGCAAGTCCAGAAGTTTGAAATTTCGATAACTAACGTCCATTCAGCACAGGTTTGAGGTTGACAAACGCAAAAGATAGAGCAGATCTGTAGAAGATCGACTCAGGAGCGATAGTGTGATCAGAGAACTTCATCGGCGAGTCATCTGCAATACGATATAAATCGCGCTGATGTGTCAGCATCAGCCTAGAAATTGATAGTGCGTCCATATAATGAACAAATGTGAAGTTAGAATTAAGAATTAGAATGTAATTGTCAAGATACAAAATTTACATATACTTACCACTATCGATCTCGTTCACATGCAAAGTATATAAGTCAGAACGTCGATGTGCAAATACAGGTTGCATTTTGCGTAATTCAGCGACATAAGAAGTGTCAATTTCAGCAAAGCACATGTCTAAATAGGCTTGATAGAGAGAAGTGATAAGCAAATTCTTCAACTACCTACCTACTCGCTCGGAGCACTGAGCAATGATAGCTCCCCAAGGATCAATGACCATAGAATGTCCATAGGAGGAGCGTTTCTCGTTGTGTTTTCCTGTTTGAGCAGCAGCTACCACATAACACTGAGTTTCTATAGCACGGGTCCGGAGCAAGGGCTGCAATGTAAGACAAGATTATTATAGAAGACAGATTGAACAATGTTGAGCCAGAACCTCCCAGTGGGCATATCCGGTGTTCACAGTGAACGCAGAAGGAAAAGTAAGAATCTCGGCACCTTTCTGCCTGTTCCAAAGTGACAGTTCCGGAAACCGCAGGTCATAACAAATGGAAAGACCTACACGGCCGACAGGTGTGTCAACTGGCTGGACCATCTTAAAAGTGATGTCATAGTTTCATTCAAAATCAAAATTTTCAGAAAAATTCTTTCAATAAACATTCGATTCCCTGGGGCAAAATTCAAATTCATGCAGAGTAAAAAAACAGAGAAATAAATTTTTAGTCCATCTGAAAAGTATGTAGGGAAACAACAGCAAAAGAAAGCGACATTATTTGTAAAATAATTTGTATATAGACATTGATGAATTACACGAATATTTCTACCTGTTTACCACCTTTGCTGAACTCGCTTTCCATCAACCTGACTTTGCCAGGAATTTCGAGATCAAATAAATGCAGTTTGTTGTAGATAGCTTTCGTATTTCCCTCATTATCAATAATAATATGAGAATTCCATGGAAGACGAGGGTCAGAAGGGTCCTGACAATATAGTACAAATATACATGTATACGCCATTTAGCAATTACAGAACTAACTTTGTTATGTAATCCACCTAGAGACATCCAGATTCCACTCGATTTTGCTAGGGACCTGCAAAGAACAATTTTAGCCATACTGCTATACTACGATAATCTTCATGATTAGCTAAGGATTGATGAGCATTAGAATCGTAAGGCTATCTTAGGCTATGTTATACTTATACTATACTTATACACGATCCACTTCATTCGCTATTGGTTAAATCAGTGAACTAACCAATAGCGAAGTGGATCAAGTGGATCAAGTTTGCCGTGTGCCTTACCTGAAGCGATCCATTATAGCTCCCTTCTCCTCCGTCGCCATTGTAATATTTTCTTCTTTGCTTCTGCCAATAAAATCAAAGCACTCGGGGAAGAAGATCATCTGAGCATCCTCTCAATAATTCCCATCTTTTGCGAGATTATGAGTACCTTACAATGGTGATCGCTTGCTCGCTTCACCATATCTTGACATACTTCGAAATTTTTGTCGACATCGTGGCCGCTAGTCAACTGGCAGACAGCAATCTGACAAATCAAAAATCGGTTCCTTTGGTTTGCAGCAGCTTCTTTTTATACTTTGCAAAGGGTAGAGCACTGACAGCGAATGTACTAAGGTTTGAAAAGGGCGACCGACAATGTAAAAAAATTTTTCACAAAGCAAGAGCAAAAAATTCTCTAGTCAAACAGATATTTTACAAAACATGTTAGTAGATAACCGAGAATAACTAGTGAAGAGTATGAAAAGACAGAAGCATAATAGAAACTCACCAGTGAACGTTGAAGAGTTGCTGATGTTGACATGGATCTTCGAAACGCTGAGTTGAATGCTGTTAGCATTAACCCCTCTAAGAAGACGCAGGAAAACCACTACGTAAGAGTGGGGCAGCATGTTTTGAGAAAATCAAAGGACATTCCAAACGCGAACAGGAACAACGACATCAATCACTTTTTATTGAATTACATCAAAAAATTCATAATATGATAGACTAGGAAACGCACCTAAAAATACATGTAGATACCTTCATCGAGAATGTGACGGCTATTGTCCGCGTCAGCGCACAAGCGACTCACAGCAACAGGAAAAGAGTTTGTATGATATAAACGCTGAAGTATGTATGAAGATAAAATTGCTAAAGAGTTATGATTCGGAAAGGACTGCACTTCCAAAAGATCAGGAAAGACATTTGATGAGGAGACATATAATCGAAAGAATTTGGGTTTTCCTTCACTGCTTCAGTGCTAGCCTTGGTTGCACCGTTCAGATACAAAGCTAGCGAGTTTGACACACGCACAAATTTGATTAAATTATTTACATATAAACTAATAAAAAAATCAGATGTTCAGTTCGATACAAAACGACAAAATCTAACAACAAACTAAGTGAGCAAAGATGCGTCAGGCTAAAATCAACGCATCAGACACGTGCAAGCAAGATACAGATACCGGCTTTACATCCTGGAGGAACGTTCCTTGACTGGACTACTTCTTTTGCTTTCCTTGTGGCTCTTTCTTCAGAAGATCTGTATTGTCCCTTTTGATTTGTCCTTGGGAGCTCTTTCGCATGGCATCGCGAACACCCAGATGACGATATCTGCAAGACGGATAGTTGGATGAAATCTACACCAGAACCATATCGAATATCCTACCGATATAATTTCCTTCCGAATTTTGATTTGCTCTTCTCATACTCCGTACGCATCTAAAAAGACAATCACATTTGGAAAAGCCTGCCAATTACTTTAAACGCAGTGGCTCGGCAAAATGGACCACTATCATATTGATCAACCCCCCCCCCCTTATGCAAAGTTTTGAATGTTCGAAGAAAGACAACCCGCCAATCCGTTGAGGGCGTAACAATGGGGTTTTGAAGCGCGTTTTCAGAACTTAGCGCTTTGACTGGCAGATGGAGTTTGAACAGCGGTGCGCTTGAGCATCTACTATGTAAAAAACCAACAACATGTAGAATTTGACAGGGGCTTTGCCGAGCCACTGCCTACACATCAACCAAGGTCCTCAAGTATGAGGCATGGATAAACACGATATGTTTAAAAGGCTAGTAGTCTAATAGGATAATTACAATTTAGCTTTTGTGCGATCGAAGCAACGCAAACCTTGTACTCGACTTCACGGACTGTGCGTAGCTTGCCCATTCGCCTTAATATAGAAAACGTTGCTTGGATGAACACAAGGGTAGTTGCATATCTGAGAGGAGTTGCCACCTAAAATATGTTTTTTAGTAAAGAAGGAATGTCGTTCTCAAAAAATACGTAGAACATTTAATCGGACAGAAGATCTTACCTTGTACAATATCAAAGCCACAACTATTGCTCCAGCACTTGGTGGTACATTTTCAACTTTCTGGATGAAAACATCTGGAACGTGCAAGAATCGGAGCAGGCCTACGGTATCAACTCCACTGAAAGCTAATTAGCTTTACAAGTGGGAATGAATGAATCAGCATATAACACCACCAGCACAGTCTGTTTATATACTGGTTCAGGTCCTATTACCAACCAGCGAGATGAGCGCGTTAAGTATATGTCTATGATTATCAACACGTAGTTTTTAGAGAGCTAGGATGAATTGCTGATTTGACTCACTGTTCTTAAAAAATCATAACAAGTGAGCGTATTCCGCTTCTGCTCTTATTTTTTTGAGTCAATGAGTTTGTGCGAGAACCCCAGCCTAGCCCTGATGCACGCCTTCAGCTTACAAGCTGGTGATGTTATAGAAGAAGTTCGGCAGATGAAATTCGTAAACGACTTACAAATGAGCTGCTGCATAACAGCCTCCAAACCACAATGTGCTAGATGCCATGTGCGCAGGCACTGCGATATACCAGTAGCGTTTCAGGTAGTATTTGATTTTTCCGAACATTGAAGTTGGCTTTTCCTCCTACAAACAGCTTTATCCATCAGAGAAGACATCAGTGTAGTGACCTTCAACCCACTGACCTCTTTCATCTCCTCAATCTTTCGCTTCTTCTCCTCTTTCTGTTGTTCGGTCATACTCAGATGGAATGGCCATTTCTTTTTATCTTTTTCCTCAACAACATCCTACAGGGTAATCAGCGGGACAAGGAAGCTGTGCACTTACTTGTTCTGTAGATAATCTCACAGGGCTATTATGCAGAACAGCGATGCTTTGGTGAAAAGGAGTACACGGCAGTCTAGTTGCATAGCACGTTCTTCCACCAAGCATGCATATTCGCCCGAGTTTTGCAACGGAAGTAAGGGAACTCCTCCCGCATCGCACAAAAGACAGCATCCTCTGCAAGAATTGTTCTGCTATCGGGCAAGAATCACTCAAACGAATTTGGTATAGAAAATTGCCAAGCCAAACAACTGCGCGAACGATGATGGTTACTCCCTCATTTCCAGTCAAACTTTTAGGACATAGGAGCCTCTAACATAAAGTAGATCTAGATATCGCAGAAGTAACCTGGATTTCAGTGCTTAAAATCCAAGAACCCTACTGCAGTTTATCTCAGGTGCAACAGTCCGCTTGAAGGAAATGAGGCGACGATGGTGTTACTTTTACAGTCAGTCTTTCAAAAGTCACTTTTAGTTGAAACACAATCTGCATTGTTGAATAACGAAAGGTGAAGAAAAACTCTCTTCAAAGCAAGTGAACGCTTATATAGTGATATATATATAGTGCTCGCCGCTCGATCATGCTGGTATTCAAAGCATGGCGCGGGTGATTGGGTTTTCCAGGACCTGTAATTTGCCAAAATATTGTCATCAATATGTGGAATGAAAAAATTAAACTAAAAGCACAACAACTTTCGTCCCCTAAGGCGAATAAGTTTTAGGCACGCGCCATACTTGATCCGCGTCTTCACTGGTCAATTCAGTGAACTGACCAGTAGTGAAGTGGATGAAGCGGATCAAGTGAACAAACGCTTCGCTACTTCTCGGTTCACTGAATTGACTAATGACGGAGCGGATTAAGTGGATCAAGCGGAACAAGTATAGCACGTGTCTTGATACCAGACTCTGTCCATTGTGCCAGTTAAAGACAGACTCCTCATGAAATCCATGAAAATATGTCGTTGATGCTCTACTCAGAAGGTCGCTCGATAACAATCGGAAAAACAGTTTACAGAAAGACTGGTGCTTTGTAGTGTATGTCCACCAAGATGTCAACACTTATCTCGTGAGATGAAAACAAATGAGTGCAGATTGTCCCACAAGCATGACCTGCTGCCGATAAATGTTCGCACACGTCACTTGTTCAAATAAGTATGGAACAAACCTCGGAAAGAACAAAGATAGATTTTCATTGTAGAAAATATAATAAAAGTGAAATTACAAACAATTCCAGATATCAAAAAATTCGGAAAACTCTAGCAACTGTTAAAATAACTTACACCACGTATTATAACAACAACTCAATATGTATAGAACAGCAAAAAATCTAACGGCTAATCTCAGACTTTTGCTTGATTGCATAGTATAAGGCAGCGACACACAGGAACAAGGCAATGGTTTCCGACGAGACGAATGGCTTTCGTGTGAGACCCTGAAATAGATAATTAAGAAAGTGTTCAGCCAGAAAGGTGATAAAACTTACGGGGTGATAATGAGTGATGGTAAACAATGGAGCAGTATTGGAATCTTTTCGGTAGGCAGCAATACCATCTTCGTCATAAATCTTTATGGCAAAGGTTTGTGCATCAGACTGGTCATGCTCTTGAGTCCAAGAGACCTGCAAAATTAGAGATATACTAAAGCTTCCAGTATTACAACAACTCCAAATGATTCACAATGAGGCTGCAAATTCGACTCGTCCGCATAATATTATCTTGAATAGCGGAGATAAATCTTTTGGTTAAAGACCGCCGAATGCCGATCGAGAGTACTACTAGAACTTCGCGGAGATGTACAACATGAAGTACAAAAATGATCGCCCACTTGTAACTTTCACACCAACTACGGTGAAAGAATCAAAACGCATACTTAGCCGATTGTAAAACGCGAATGAAGATCATTCAACATCACTACTCGAAAAAACTTTTTCTGCTCCTTATCGATTACTTATTAGATTCAATCATCCATTTAGGTTTTCATCAACACTCACAGTAATAAGAGGTAACATATGCTGTAACATATGCTTTGTTACACATGGAAATAAACATTCATAACCTTTTTCAAATGATTTATCCCCATCTTCAGATCAAGTTTAGGGTTGCTGTTTTTAATATATACGCGCCACACATAAAAACCCAACTTTCGAATTTTTTTTTCGCTATTTTGGTAAATTTCCAACTTGCGTTATCAAACAGCCTTTCCAGACTGCCTCCATATAAGTACTAATATCCCGCAATCCATTAAAAGCATGAAAATGATGGAAAAGAAAAGGAGAATTTTAGAGAAAGAAGGACATTAAAGTACTACCACAAAGTTGCTTTTATAATCACTGTATGTAACGCGCATCTGTGAACGTGAAAATGATGCCAGTGAAAAATACTTCGTCCATTGTTCATATGTGCCAAATAAGACTTTGCCAGTGTTTGTAGAGTTTTCTAGAGAAAAATGGAAAAACTGTCACAAAATTTCTGCAACCATATATATAAATATCTGCGTTAGCTTTCCACGGAAATTAGTTAAAGCTCGAGTATTCGAATGAAACATTCGATTGAACTTCATTGATTCGACAATCGACTATTACTCAATTAGGGTGCGATCGACTACTCAACTTTTTGTTTCTCATTGATACATACACTATCTGCCTTGGATGCTGATTGCAGGCTACGGAAATAAGGAGAACCAAGAGTACCTGATATTTTGCAGTCTCTACGGATACTGCTACATTATAGATGTTGCCATTAACTACTGCATAGAATGGAGCGTCCTGGAAAGTGAAGCGAACCGTTTGTATTATAAGCCAAACGAAAATGCACAATAGCAAAACCTAGTGGAATCTTTAATGAACTGAGAGATCTACCTTCATACTATTGCTGCACTGTAGAGTGAACTCAGCGATGAAGGTGGTATGGAAATGGAAGAACCCATCTGTCGTCGAGAAGGTAGACGCAGAATGTTTTGGCGACTCACATTTGAACGCTGTAACAGAACAGCATTACAAACAAAACAGATGCCATGAATAGTCTCACATTTCATGAATTTCAAAGGAGATAGTCATTTCAAGGCAAATTTACTTCACCTTTTTGAGCAAAAAGTTATGTAAAGAGCAATCTCGCTGCTGAGATGTAATGATTGTGCACACCCTTACAATGTTTTGAGGAAGAAATTATAATGCACACTGCTAAGTGCGTGGTATATCTTGTTGCCTCTTACGCACTATAGCCAAGTTTACATCCAGGCTAGAATGAAAGAAGCACACACAGCTACTTTCCATTCCAATAATGATCACAGCGATTGTGAAGTGCAGCTGCTTTACAAGTGTAAGAGATGTCGGCTGATGTCACTTCACATCTGCAGCCAGGCTAAATGTTTATATGAATGTTTGAATCAATCGCTAATCCATCTGATATAACTGATTTATAGTGGTCCGTGAAGAACATCACCACAATTTGCAATAAAATAAGGGACCAGGTAAACCAAAGCCGCGTATGCGTTTTGGAAATCCGAAAAAGAATCTCAAAGTGTTTTATATACAGGGTGTCCCAAAATAATGTGCACACTGTTTGATTTTGAATAACTCTATTATTATGAGGTCTTTCGAGAAGCTGTAAGCTCCATTTTTTAGAGCTGGGTTCAACTTAGATTTGCAGTATAGAGCGAATCTTCCATCCTTCTACGTTACTGTAGGATTACGGTAGAAACTTGAAAGAGGGTTTTGGACCATGGGCCATATTTTGTCTCGGAAAGGAATCAAAACAGCCCAAAAACTTCTACACTAGGCCAGTTAGGTTGCTGATTCTAATTGTAAAGTTCCCAACTTATTACGATGCTCCACTGAAGAGTTATGCGAGGTAAGCAGTAGCGGCCATTTCCTCAATGTTCCTAAAAAGCGCGGTTACACAGTTTAGGAAGCTTCGCAATCTTGAGAATAGTTGCGTATTGAACTCAGCGTCCCTAAAAACCCTATTGCACAAGTTTTCACATCTTTTTGAAAATTTTCAAAACGGCAGCTTTTTCCACAGTGACACCACAAGTTCCAAGTTTCTACCGTAATCCTACAATAATGAAGAGCGATCGGTGATTCCCTCTATACTGTAAATCTAAGTTAAAGCCACCTTACAGAAATGCGCTTACCGCTTCTCAAAAGACCTCATAATAAGAGGCCCTGGCCAGACTTCGCCCAAAAGCGCTCAAAAGCGCTCAAAAGCGCCCAAACTTCTCTAACCTCTCCTCACTATCTCTCATCTCTCCTCACACGAGAAAGTGAAGAGACACCAGAGAAATTCGGGCGCCTTTGCGCGCTTTTGAGTGCTTTTGGGCGCTTTTGGGCGCTTTTGAGCGAAGTCTGGCCAGGGCCAGAGAGTTACTCAAAATCAAACAGTGTGCACATTATTTTGGGACACCCTGTATATAACAAAAAAGAGAGAGCCATAATTAAAAGCTTGTTAAATGTGTGAAGCTTGATTAATATCGATCTAAAGGTCAACGGTTCAGAGTATGTCTGTGAATGAATGTGTGCGAAGAGGTCAATTCTTATTGACAGATGGACTACAGTCAGCACATAACTAGTGTTGAGCTCATGAAATCTAAGTAGTTGTAGTTGTACCTTACAGATGTATTCATTGTTCAGTCATCAATTCGAAATGTCCCCCCCCCACCAATTTTTCAGCAAAAGCCGTCGAAACCACAAGGTCTTGTCTACTATTTTCAATGAGCTGGGTCAAATGGTTGCAGGACAAAGCGCTCGTTATCGTCTCCCTGAAGTACCGAACTAATGACTTTGAACAGCCTCTACGAATGAAGGATTTAGATTTTGCTACATCCTGCGCGCTCATTGGCAAAACATCTACGAAGTCAAAACATTGTGATAAACTCAAAACAGAAACAAACAGCAAATAACCTATGCAAAAAATTTACAAGATAGGAAGCGTGACATACCAAAGGCAGATACTCCCAGGGAAAGCAGAAGGATGGTTATCATCTTAGGCAATACCTGCAAAGATTTAGTGCAGCATATGATGGAACATAAAATCCCTAACAGCATTACACACACACTCAACCACTCGAATGAACAGGAACAAAGACAAATCCACAAGTGGATGAGCAAATCGTAAAAGGATCTCAAAGGCAATTTACAACAAGCACAGTATCACGAATGGCCGTCCAACCGAAAGATCACTGTGTTCAGCTGCCTGCACCGTTGGAAAGGTTGTCGGGATTTTTTGGCACAAATCCAGTCTGACTGTAGGCAGCTCGAACAAATCCGCGCAGGACCGTAGCCTCGAATGCTTGTTCGCGCCTTCAAAATTCTCAGCGACTCGCGAATTTACGTGAAGTGAGTCAGCTTATTCTGGGCAGTAATTTCGCATGTTGTGAGTCATTTTCTCTATTATGTTTTTCAGATATTTTAACTTTAAGAGAAGAAAACCCATTGTGAAGTTGGGTGGTTTTTGCTTTGTTTTCGTCGCTTGTCGCTTTTATACTGTTTAATTTTAATTCAGTTTTCCTTTTTCTCAGGCTTGATATGATCAAATCGTTATATTGCAGTTACTGATGAGCGGCAGTCAGGAAGTGAGGATACATGACGTCTGGAACTCTAACGTTGAAGAAGAGTTCGCTAAAATGCGAACTCTCATAGAGGTTGGCTGTTTTTGGGGGAAGTTTGTTACTTATTCTTGTGCGCTCAGGACTATCCTTTTGTGGCGATGGACACCGAGTTCCCAGGAGTCGTTGCTACACCCCTTGGAACCTTCAAGAGCAAGGAGGATTTCAACTATCAGCAAGTCTCCTGCAATGTGAACATGCTGAAACTTATCCAGGTACGCTTGATTTCTTTGCTGATTTCCTGGCTTTCTTGTATCTTTCGAATCCGTTTCTATAAGTTTAGTAGGTATTCAACTAGAGTGATGTATGGCATTCTATATTAGTTTAGAAAACTGGCGGTTTTTTGAGAGTCATCATCCAAGAAACTGATGTGCTTTAAAGTTTTCGCGAGTAGTATTTTAAACTTGAAGCAATTATCATCTTGGCATCACTCTTTAGATCTATATACATATGTTGCAGGTTGGATTTGCGTTGGTAGACGAAAAAGGGGAACTTCCACCCACAGGCGATGTCTGGCAATTCAACTTCCACTTCTCGCTGACCGACGATATGTACTCACAAGAAAGTGTTGAGATGCTCAGAGCAGCAGGAATAGATTTCAACCGTCTGCAGGTATTTCTAATTTAGATGTGAAGGAAGCTTCAATGATTTTTTTTTTATTCAGAATGAGGGAATTTCAATGGACATATTTGGTGAATTGTTGACAACGTCAGGGCTCATCGTGGACGACCGTATCACATGGCTCACATTTTCTTCTGGATATGATTTTGGCTATCTCTTGAAGTCAATCACCTTGGGAGAGTTACCGAAAGAGGTTTGTTAGTTTTGATTTGACTTTAGATTTTCTTTTGATCATATTTTGCTTTTAGGAATCTCAGTTTTTCCAATTCCACCGTGCTCTATTTCCCAAGTGTTACGACATCAAGCTGATGTTGCGAATGCCGGGAGCTTTCAACACTAAGCTCAAGGGTGGCCTACAAGAGGTATGCAGTTTCAATGTTTACGATCTGTTGACCTTTCAAGGAACCGTAGATGATAGAGAACGTTTTGTCCCGCATTCGTCCGCGCAGCACATTGCTGCTCGCGATAGATTTTTTCAGAGGTTTTTTCATACAGAATTTTCTACTTAGCTTATGTTTGCCCTTGAAGATGCTTCACTTCTGACCTGTATAGAATTTAATGGAAGATTTTGTCACTCATGCTTCTGCATCTTGATGATATCAAACTTGACTCACAGAAAACAAGTGTGAGAATAAACGCATGAACGCGCTAACAGTAAAGACAGTTCATGTTTGAAGACATAATCGAAAGCGGCGCGATTGTCGTTAAGTAACACGTTCTAATAGTCTTCCCTTGCCCTTTTCAGCTAAACTTTAGTTTCTGCTGACTACTGAGAGAAGGTTCTAGCGAAGTAATAATAGGTTTTTTTTAAGGTTGCGGATCAACTGGATGTGAAGCGCCACGGCATGCGACATCAGGCTGGCTCGGATGCTTTGCTAACAGCGAAGACATTCTTCAAAATCAAGCAGCAATTTTTCAGTGACAATTGGGAAAAGGTATGTATCTGTTCTCACAAACTGATAGATAATCGTTGTCATTCTTTCAATTTTTCAAACTTCTCGTGTTTTTCGATATTGCTGAAATTATGTCTTCGCTAAAGCACTTTTTTTCCCACACAACTATGACTGTTCCATCTGCAATACCTAGGAGAAAAGTTTTGGATATTGCTGTTTTATATTAATGTTCTGACTTGAGTGGTTTGACATGATCTTATGGATGCATAGTACACTTTGCCTTCATACCAAGCAAGTCGCCAGTAGGCACCAGACCAGTCATTTCGGGTCCGGCGCAAATCGGTTATCTATCCCCGACTCGTTCGTCTTTAGTTTCTTTTTCCTCCCACGTAAATCGCTATATCGATGCTGTTGAGATAGAGGAAATAGTCTACAGATTCTTCAAAGACGACTTTTCCAGGTATCGCGATTAGTGCAAGGGCACCTGTTCGGGCTTGGATCATCGCTCTCACTTTCACAGTCAGCACATAAATTGGACGAAATGGACAGAGAAAAGGAACCGGTGGCTGTTAATTAGTCTGTTCGACTGCAGCTCTTTTTGTATAAACTGTTTGGACGTCGTTGGAGCTGTGTACAAATAACAGCGCAGACTCTGCTTCTACACAGTCATAGAATATCGCTATGGTTTGGCTTGTGAATCGATATGTTTGGTTAGGTATCGAGCTTTGATTCAGCTCATTCGAGGGTGGCAAAGTTGAAAGTATTGCTAGTGGCAGCGCTCCGGTTATGGTTGTTTTGTTCAAGATCTCTTCGTTTTCCGTCTTTATCTCCAAATAAATTCCCCTTTCGTTCGAAGACCATTTCACTCACTGCCAAGTGCATTAAAGATTCTGTACAAATTATTCCCGTGTAATTTTTGTGAATGCTCCATTATGATTCAACTTATTTGTGTTTCCTCTCTTCAAATGAATAATGTCATGATAGTGGAATCCTTTGTTTGTTTTTTCTATGGTTTTTCCCGGTGCTTCTTACAGCTATCCGCTCGATCACCTAGCATGTTGGTGTTGGCCCTAACTTCTTTAGATATGCCATCAAACGGCCAGCGCAAGCACACTATCTCTACGAAGGTGAGGAAGCGTCCTGGCAAGGACCTGGATCAGATACATGAGGATCTCAAACCTAACAAAGCAGCAAAGCTGCTGAACCAAGAAGTTGGCTATCGGTCATTTACTATCGCATCGATCAGAAAGAACCTGATTTAGATCGATCTGGACCTTCCTGGAGATGGACAGTTCTACTGTATCGAGTGTGATCGGTATTTCATAGATGAAAAGACTAGGGCAGAACATCGGAAGTATAAGGTGTGTTCATATACTTCCAATTCCTACTAAATCGTAAACTTACTTCATTTTCGTCATTTTCCTCTTGAAACTCTTTCTGTGATGTCACTTCCCTTCACACCCACGACACATTGCTTTTCTCCTGCTGCATTTACCATAGTGTGAAGCATCATTGTCATTATCTACAACTGTTTTCCAGCTGATAACAGCGGACCGCTTTTGTCAGAGAGCTGTTTTTCAATGTCGTGTTACTGAACAAAAAACAGGCAGTACAATTGTTAAAGATTCAGGCTTTTGTGCTTGCACTCAAAAGCTCGTTTTGAGCTTATTAGGTGGCTTGCAGCAGTTTTGAATGCATCTCTCAGTGAACATTCTGTAAAGCAACTCCTCGCCCAATCCTATTTCCCATTCTGGATTTCTCTTGTATTCTAAGTTATGCACAAGTCGCGGAAATCTGGGAATATGGTTCTTCTTTCTTGCACGTAAATATGAGGTGTCATTTCATTTATAAAACGCATGAGTCTAATATTTCTTTCATGGTTCTTGTCCATCATTATCTTGATTTTTTAGGCTCGTTACTTCCATCTTTGAAAATTTCGAAGAATGAATATTCTGCCAGCCTTACTGCAATACATACCTCCAAAAATCTTGCCACTGAAAGGTTTTTGAAAGCTCTGAATATTTCAATTTTTTGGAAGGGAGACGCTTGATGTTTCTGTTACTCTTCCCTTTCCCGCGCTTCGTATGGGCTTCTGAAATTCCACCAGTTCACATTTAGGATGCTTCTGAGAGGGAAAAAGTAGTGAAGGTAGGCCAGATATCGAATTTGAACTGGTGAATGTCCTTCGGCATATGCTCGTATTGTTTTTTGTTCATTGTATAGTCCTAGAGAAGCACTCAACAATTCAACTTCGTTGAATATTTTTCCTCGATTTTTTCTCTTTACTTCAATCCAGATGTTCTCCATCCCTACGAACATTTTGAAGAAGCTTGTTGCTCAGAGTCTAGAAAATGTGATGCTCTCTTGTGTATCTTACGAGTTGTAGCCAACAGTATAGAAATCTGAGATTACCTATTGGCTACAACCGCTACAGACTAATCCATATTTCTGAGGACCTCAGTGAGATGTAGTACATAATTATTACGCTGAGAAGAAGATTTGTCGTTTTTTATCAGTTTTTTTTCCAGCTCAAAGAAGCGCGAAAAAGCCGAAAAAAGCCCGAAAAAGCCCAAAAAAGCCCGAAAGAGCGGGTACGCAGAAACGATATCGTGGTAGAATTCTGACGTTATTTTGATGTGCAAACGACAGAAAATGAAGCAAAAAGACTCAATTGCGAAATCAACACCATGCCTTAGCGTTAAAACGGAAGGGGGCGTTCCGGCTCTTTCTGGCACTTTTGGGCTTTTTCGGGCTTTTTTCGGCTTTTTCGGGTTTTTTTTTCGCCTTTTCGGGCACTTTTGGGCTTTTTTCGGCGAAGTATAACGGGTCCCTATTACAGTTCCATTTGTGGTACACAACTGCTAGGCATGCGCCATACTTAATCCACTTCATCCATTTCGCTTTCACTGATTTGACCAATAGCGAAATGGATGAAGTGAATTGACCAATATCAAAGCGGATGTTTCACTTGATCCGCTTGATCCTTTGATCCGCTTGATCCGTTTCTTCCTTCGCCGGTGGTCAGTTTGCTGTTTTGACCAATAGCGATGTGGATCAAGCGGATCAAGTATGGCGCATGCCATATGTGGAGGAACTTGAGACTGCTAGAATCGGAATTTGCCACTTTTGTATCCCATCTTTCTTCTTTCAGTCTGAAAAATAACGAGTGTATGTATGGGTGAGTACATGTACCTGTTACACACAGGAGCAAGTCAAAAATTCTTTTAGCATGTTTTGAAGAAATTAGATTTTTGACGTCATGGGTTGTTCATAGATTTCGGCAATTTTGCGCTAATCAAACTTATGCTCATGTCGAAGGTTACATTGTAGATTTTGCGTCGTTCTATCGGATGGCACTTTTCAAGCATTTTATCGGGGTTTATCTTTTTTTTATCATCGGAAACGGCATCCTTTTCTTTTCAACGTAATAGATTGAGATTGCTGTGATTCTGTTTGTTTTTTTCACTGATAATCACAGCTCTCTGTAAGTTTTCGGTCAAAATTCAAAATCTCTGTAAGCATGTTTGATCAAATACCATTATCTTTGGAAATGCTTTCTTGCTTTTCCAAATGAAATTGAAAGGTTTGACGATCACGTTGAAAAGCGAGCACTCGCAGCTATGCTGTCAGGCTAGCAGTAACGAATGATTTCTGAAATATTCTTTCTAAATGTTTCTGATGAGAAATTGAATCCCGCAGATGAACAGTTGCTGCGGTCGTTCTACGACCCAAAGTATTTTGAACGAAGTCTCAAAACCTTGCTAATTTACATGAGCTCGACACCAAATTACGTTGTGATCAAGTTACGCAAACCTAGCTTGCACGTAAAGTTAAAATTGGAACATGCGAAAAAGTGAGAGCGTTATGATCGGTAGTGGAGTTGATTCAATTTTCCATTTCATAGTCCACTATTTTGTGCTTCTTTGTGTCATTGACGCGGATGAGTATGGCTGATTTACTTATAAAGTGCGGTTCATAATTATACGAACACCCAAAATTCTGCAAGTTTTCGGACTATTTGGGAAAAACTCAAAAAGCCGTTGGTACCACGCGATAGAACACAGCTGAAAACGGTATATGATTCATGAGAATGGAAATGGATGTCAATTGTAGGAGTGTTTTTGCGCCCAATGCGAATTTTTGGCGGTTCATAATTATACGAACACTTCGAACAAAGGTCCATTTTTCATCCAAGATTGCAATCGTTTGAGTCCAAATTTTTTGAAGAGTTACAGTAACAAAGTCTGACACATCTGCTACACACTGAACCCAGTGCAGTTTAAAATGAGGACCGTTACTTTTTTCAGAAGGCTCTAAATGCTTTTGGAGTGATTGTGCTCCAGAAACATTCGGTCTTCTGTGGTTTACGCGCTCTAATTAGCTTTTATTGAAGCTATGAGATTAAATAAGCTCTTGCGATAGGTATTTTGTTTTACGCTTGAAAAATCTTTGCGTTTTCGTGCCGTTTTTCAACCAAGTTCCAACCTTACTTTAGAATTAGCGCGATTTCGAGCCTCAAAACTCAGCTTCTGAAGCCGTACAATGAAGTAAGCATATAGTATGTAGAAGTTCACAAGACTGTATATTTGGCTAAAAAAATCAGCAGCGTTGAGCGTTTGTTTTGGCCACGCAGACATCATTTCACCAAAAACACTGTTTTCACTATTGCAATCACACCCTTATTTGGTTTGTAGCTCCACAGCCTCAAGATCAGTTCTTGAAAAAACCCAAAAACTTTGGCACAAAAACATCATCATGCAAGCAATGCAGCTGCTTCATATCAAATGTTTGCGCAAGAGAGAAGCTGAGTTTTGAGGCTCGAAATCGTGCTAACTCTAAAGTAAGGTTGGAACTTGGTTGAAAAGCGGCACGAAAACGCAAAGATTTTCCGAGCGTGAAACAAAATACCTATCGCAAGAGCTTATTTTATCTCATAGCTTTGGTAGAAGCTAATTAGAGCGCGTAAACCACAGAAGAACGGATGTTTCTGGAGCCCAATCACTCCAAAAGCATTTAGAGCCTTCTGAAAAAAGTAACGGTCCTCGTTTTGAACTGCACTGCGTTCAGTGTGTAGCAGATATGTCAGACTTTGTTACTGCAACTTTACGAAAAATTTGGATTTGAAAGATTGCAATCTTGAATGAAAAATGGACCTTTGTTTGAGGTGTTCGTATAATTATGAACCGCTAAAAATTCGCATTAGGCGCAAAAACACTCCTACAATTGACATCGATTTCCATTCTTATGAATCATATATCGTTTTCGGCTGTGTTCTATCGCGTGGTACCAACGGCTTTTTAAGTTTCTTCCAAAAAGTCCGAAAACCTTTAAAATTTTGGGTGTTCGTATAATTATGAACCGCACTTTAGTGCCGATGTCTTCTTGATGAAATATTAACACGTTGACGACGAGCCATTTTTTTGCGGTCTGTCCCTGTGGACGAGACGTTTCCATGCATCCCTACGCGTGGCCCATGTATGTATGCATGCATCCATGCACAAAGTACAAAATGTGCAAGCCCCGCCCCCTCTGGCAAGCTCCGCCCACTCGACCAAAAATATCGGAAATTGCCTAAATTTCAAGAATTTATGCGATTTCCGCCACTTTTGAAAAGTGGGCGGAGCTTGCCACTCAGGGGGCGGAGCTTGCCTGACGGTGGGCGGGGCCTGGCTAGAAGTTGCTTGAAGTCTTTGCGTTTATCTACGGCCTCATCCATGCTTTTTGTGGACAAAAAGGATCCTTGTGAGAGGCATAAAAGTGGGCGGAGTTTGCCAAAAGGGGCGGGGCTAATACATGAAGTACATCTGAGCCTATGTTGATTTTATGAACAAAAACTGGGAGGATTGGACAGATAGTATTGAATTTAAGGCCGCCGCGCACCATTGCGCGGCGTCGTCCACAGGGACAGACTGCCTGCCGCGCACCATTGCGCGGCACTGTCGTCAACGTGTTAAGCTCTAATGTCGTGTTACTTGCTGGTACCGACTATATTTCTAGTCATGACTTCTCTCTAATAGTCGTTTCCTATCTATGTGTGATTCAGCAGAGGTTTCGATTATTATCACCCGTTTTTCCCTAAATATTACAATCTTCATGTATGGCGCTATTTCAGCTGCACAAAAATCGACTGCGAGCTCTCAAAGAGGTACCATACACAATGAAGGAGGCGGAGGCTGCTGCTGGACATGGGCATTACCAACATGTAACAAAAACTTCAAAAGTACGTTCCCTTTCCGAATATATGCATTGAAAAACGCTATAGTGATCTGTACATGAAAAGAATGAATGTTGAATTCACGCGTCTTTTAACACATTCACGACAATGTGACCTAGCGGTGGGTCGTACGTGTTCTTCCGTTTCGGACTATACGACCCACTGGTGGGTCTTAAGATTTCTGAAGCTCTAGCTTTGAAAGTTTATGATGGAATTCTGCGGGATTCTGGCGCATGATTGGGCACACTTGGGGAAACTCCAGCCAGAGTGGTCTGGGTTTGGGATACTGTAATGTAGTGTTACGGTAGGTATGCCTAGATAGAGATAAGGCAGGCACAGAGTTTAGCCCACATTTTTCGCAGAGTGGTGCTGTTTTTGAAAATTCAAGTTTATATGCACGAGAAATTCGGGTCAGGAAAAAGACTGATGCTAGCACATCAAAGAATTATTGATTTTATTGATTTTTTGCATTGTTCATCAAAGGAAGCTCAGACTTTACATAATGGGTTTCCTAGCATGCTGATTTCGAAAATGATAGTCTCAAGTCCTAGTACCGCCTTATTACATCAGTTTCTTGACTTTGACGAAAATTCTACCGTACTGCTACCGTAGTCTCACTGTGGTAAAGTAGTGAACAAAGTGGATACTATAATCGTGATTAGCACGTGAAATAACCCCAAAACAATTGTTCTATGATAATCCATGCTCTTGGATTCGTACAGTGCGACTAACGTAACCTTACCGTATAATGGCAAAGACTGAAATAAATCATATTCTGATAATCAGCGCCTTCAATAACCCTTGTGGAGAAATTCGGCGACATGTTTTGAATTTCTCACAAAAAGATTAGCATTTCGGCGACAATACGACCCACGGGTGGGTGTAAGTTTAAAGAAGCGAAAAAGGCTGTGGTCCGAAACGGCAATAATCGAAAAAGACCTTGTCGTGAATGTGTCAATGGTCCTCTATAGAGATGACGAACGGCTGTATACCGTACCTTTTCATTTTCAACGTACCAAGTTTTTTACGTTGTTTTACTTGCAAAGACATGAAAAATTTTATATCTTCAAAGTTTGGATCCACTTGCGATAATTTTGTTTGCAAAAAAGCGCGACGTTCTTCGTTTGGAAAGGGAATCTGTCTCGCTTGCCACCTCGAAAAACTGAAACTACTTGTCAATGGATGTGATCATTAGTTAGTATCAATCGCAGAAGACGGGAACTTGAGACCTTTCAAAATTTGTCTAAGCAAAAGTCGTTCAACGATTTTGTTGTCATCGCATTTGCTTACCAACTTTGACCACAAGGTGTTTCTATGAAGTCCGAGTTTCAGGTAACATCAGATGTTGTCATGGAGAGTACTGAAAAAGTTGAAGATGCAGATAAGACAGTGCAAGATACTTAGCACATCGTGAATCATTCTGTTGATTTATTTCGTTGTTATGCACTTGTTGTCTGTTTGAAGAATTTTTATAAAAACTATGAGGACATGTTCGATCATTATCTTTCCTGCGTCCTGCGCGAATGGCTCTCTGCTGTCTTTTCCGTAAGTTTGTTGGGAATTAAAATATAATTGTAAATCAGGTACCCCTCTGGATGTCTTTGTTATTGCGACGGATACCTCTCGTCTTCCATGTAGCCACTGCGTCTAAATCTAGCCAAGCACAGTCCCTCATCAGGATATACGAATCTGCACGAGAGGTCACTATCCTTTCCATTACGCTTCCGCAGTAATTAGAATCTCAGCATGCTAATAAACTGCAATAACCCTAGCTAGCCATTTCATAACCCAAAATAAATTGAGAGATCAATTTGATCAAATCTGGTCGAGGAAGCATTTATGATATGATTAGTACTAGCGACCCTACGGGTCGCTAGCAAGTGGGTCGGGGCAGATACATATAAGGGCTTAGGTTTGACTAAAAATATTTCTAAATAAGTTTCCTGTTCCTTTCCTGAGAACATTTTTGCGAAGAGCATTCCACAAAAGAAGAACTGCTCGAAAAAGCGATAATCTCCACAAATCATTCAGCATTTCTCGAATTATTTTTATCTCGTTTACACGCTTTTCATGCAAATTTCCCTCCTCACAGAGACATTCAGATAAACCCCCCCCCCCACTTTTCTACCCTTTCAAAGAGAATTTGCTCTTTCAGTTCTTCTCAGCAAGTTCCATAAAAGATCGTTGAGTAAGTAGCAGAACATATGTTTTGGAAGTAGAAATACACCATAATAATTATGTGTATTACAAAAAACACTTTTCTCTCAGAATCAGTTCCGACAGCAACGAAATCAATCGTCTAAGAACTTTGTCAAAGAATCCTTCAATTTTTTCGCCAAAGGAATATGAAGCTTTACTACATAAGTAGATCCCTCCCCGAAAAACACACTACTGAGCCACCTAAAGACTGTCAATCATAAGAACTGCATAAACGTACAAAAAATTTCTTTCCCTGTCCGATCAAATTGCCCTACGGGCCGATTACAAACCAGTTATCTATTTGAAAGAAAGTTCATGCCCTATGTGCCGCTTGAAGACCGTTGAAAAATTACAAGAACTGCCATAACATACAAAAATCTGTTTCCCTGCCCGATCGAGTTGCCCTACGTGCCGCTTACAGACCGAGAGTAACTATCCAAAGTGAAAGTTTATTCCCTACGTGCCGCTTGAAGACCGGTAAGAAATTACAAGAACTGCCATAACATACAAAAATCTGTTTCCCTGCCCGATCGGGTTGCCCTACGTGACGCTTACAGACCGAGAGTAACTATCCAAAATGAAAGTTTATTCCCTACGTGCCGCTTGAAGACCGGTAAGAAATTACAAGAACTGCCATAACATACAAAAATCTGTTCCCCTGCTCGATCGGGTTGCGCTACGCGCCGCTTACAGACCGAGAGTAACTATTCAGAAAGAAAGTTTATGCCATATGTGCCGCTTGAAGACCGTTTAAGAATTACAAGAACTGCCCCAAACATAAGAAATCTGAAAAAAAAAAACCCGCTTAGAGACCAATAGTCAAAAAGAAAGTTTATGCCCTACGTGCCGCTTGAAGATCGTTTAGGAATTATAGAACTGCCCCAAACATACAAAAATGCGTTTCCCTGCCATCGGGTTGCCCTACGTGCTGCTTACAGACCGACAGTAACTATTCAAAAAGAAAGTTCATGCCCTACGTGCTGCTTGAAGATCGTATATATAAAAAGCCAATTTTACGACTCTACAGAAAGAGAACAACGAAATCAAGTATTTACAGCGTATTTTCAAACTGCCACCTTTGGACTTCCAATTCTGAGAACTGCCCCAAACGTACAAAAATCTGTTCCCTGCCCGATGGAATTGCCCTACGTGCCGCTTACACACCGATACCCACGAAAAAAAGCAAGGCTGTTGTTAGATAAACGCTTCTAAAAGTACCAGCGAGACTAAGTTATTCACGCACTCTCTTGTCTACACTCGGAAGCAAGATAATTTTGAAGTGACTGTTGTTAGAGCATTTTTACGAAGATTTGAGAATATAGATGAATTTAGCTCAAGTCACGCTTTCACGCAATTTGGCATTATTTCAAAAGCAACTAATAGGAGTAGAACATGTTTGAAAAACACATTCTGGGATAACAAGTTCGATTTTAAAAAGGTGGGACAAATAACACACCCGGACACTGGCGACACAGTCTCAAAATTATTGCGACACTCATTGACCCTTTTACGAAAATCTGCTTGGTCACTCGTTATGAAATTTGGCAGCGTTCCAAAACGCATGCCACTTGGCAGCAATCCAATTCCAAAGATCAGTGTATTTCATCATAATTTTTACGTCTGCGGCCTCCTCGTTTGCCATGATCCAACTATCGGGCGGCTTAATGGGTAAACAACGAATTCGTTATATATTACGTAGGGACTAGCAAGTGGGGCGGGGCATATACAATATAAGGGCTTAGTTGTGACTATAAATATGTTTATAAATAAGTCTCCTATTCCTTTCCTGAGAACAAGGAGAAATGCGCGAAGAAACGATAATCTCCACAGATCTTCTCAGCATTTCTCGAAATTCCTGTTGCAACCATGCATGGAGAATATTATTTTCTCTCGTTTACCACGCTCTTTTTGCAAGTTTCCCCTCCTCACAGATACATTCAGATTAAGGAAACCCCCAATTTTCTACCCTCTCAAAGAGAATTTGCTCTTCCAGTTCTTCTCAACAAGTTCCATAAAAGATCGTTGCGTAAGTAGCAGAGCACCTATCGTTTTCGAAGTAGAAATACATTCATAACAATCATGTGTACTACAAATAACACTTTTTCTCAGAAAATTCCGACAGCATGGATATCAATCGTCCAAGAACTTTGTCAGTGAATCCTTCAATTTTTTCGCCAAAGGAATATGAAGCTTTACTACAAAAGGAGATTCCTCCCCGAAAAGCACGACTACCGAGCCACCTAAAGATTGTCAATCATAAGAACTGCACAAACGCACAAAAATCTGTTTTCCTGCCCGATCGAGTTGCCCTACGTGCCGCTTACAGACCGATAGTAAGTATTCGAAAAGGAATTTTATGCCCTACGTGCCGCTTACAGACCGATAGTAACTATTCAAAAATGAAATTTATGCTCTATTGCCGCTTGAAGACCGTTTAAAATATAAGAACTGCCCCAAACGCACAAAAATCTGTTTCCCTGCCCGATCGAGTTGCCCTACGTGCCGCTTACAGACCGATAGTAACCGATAGTAACTATTCAAAAATGAAATTTATGCTCTATTGCCGCTTGAAGAGCGTTTAAAATATAAGAACTGCCCCAAACGCACAAAAATCTGTTTCCCTGCCCGATCGAGTTGCCCTACGTGCCGCTTACAGACCGATAGTAACCGATAGTAACTATTCAAAATTGAAATTTATGCTCTATTGCCGCTTGAAGACCGTTGAAAATATAAGAACTGCCCCAAACGCACAAAATCTGTTTCCCTGCCCGATCGAGTTGCCCTACGTGCCGCTTACAGACCGATAGTAACTATGCCGCTTACAGAACGATAGTAACTATTCAAAAATGAAATTTATGCTCTATTGCCGCTTGAAGACCGTTTAAAATATAAGAACTGCCCCAAACGCACAAAATCTGTTTCCCTGCCCGATCGAGTTGCCCTACGTGCCGCTTACAGACCGATAGTAAGTATTCGAAAAGGAAATTTATGCCCTACGTGCCGCTTACAGACCGATAGTAACTATTCAAAAATGAAATTTATGCTCTATTGCCGCTTGAAGACCGTTTAAAATATAAGAACTGCCCCAAACGCACAAAATCTGTTTCCCTGCCCGATCGAGTCGCCCTACGTGCCGCTTACAGTCCTATAGTAAGTATTCGAAAAGGAAATTTATGCCCTACGTGCCGCTTACAGAGCGATAGTAACTATTCAAAAATGAATTTTATGCCCTCTGTGCCGCTTGAAGATCGTTTAAAATATAAGAACTGCCCCAAACGCACAAAAATCTGTTTCCCTGCCCGATCGAGTTGCCCTACGTGCCGCTTTCAGACCGATAGTAACCGATAGTAACTGTTCAAAAATGGAACTTATGCCCTATGTGCCGCTTGAAGACCGTTTAAAATACAAGAACTGCCCCAAACGCACAAAAATCTGTTTCCCTGCCCGATCGAGGTGCCCTACGTGCCGCTTACAGACCGATAGTAAGTATTCGGAAAGGAAATTTATGCCCTACGTGCCGCTTACACACCGATACCTAGTTGAAAGCACCAGCGGGACAGTTACACAAGTAAAGCAAGGTTGTTATTAGATAAACGCTTTCAAAAGTACCAGCGAAGTCAAGTTACTCACGCACTCTCTTGTCTACGCGCGGAAGCAAAATAATCCTAAAGTGACTGTTCTTAGTTAGAACATTTTTACCAAGAGTTGAGAACATAGATGAATTTAGCTCAAGTCACGCTGTTACGCAATTTGGCATCATTTCAAAAGCAACTAATAGGAGTACAACATATCTGAAAGACATATTCTGGGATAACAAGCTCGAAAAAGGTACAAATAACACACCCGACACTGGCGACATTTTCTCAAAATCACTGCGACACTCGTGATCGCTTTCGAAATACGTGTGACCCTTTTACGAAAATATGCTTGGTCACTCGTTATGAAATTTGGCAGCGTTCCAAAACGCATGCCACTTGGCAGCAATCCAATCCCAAAGATCAGCGTATTTCATCATAATTTTTACGTCTGCGGCCTCCTCGTTTGCCATGATCCAACTATCGGGCGGCTTAATGGGTAAACAACGAATTCGTTATATATTACGTAGTGAATCTCCATCACGGTTACCATCAACAATTTACAAATTACACATACAATTTTATTTGTTTTCCGTGGCATTCAGGAGTCATCTGAGTAATGAGCAAAAAAGGCGTATAGTAATGTGGTATGATGGCTGTAACTGTATTCCAGCCACTACCAAGTCTTTTTTTTAAATTAACTTACAGTCGGAATCAAAATATCAAGCATAGCAGTTTAAGTTAGATTCTAATTGGTGATAAAGTGGGGACTCTATGGTAGTGTACCAACGGTAATGCAGTGGCGATTAAGAAGTGAAGCTTATCGAATTTCCAGAGATTCAAATAGTTTTGCCAAAAATTCGGGGACGAAGCAATTCAAGGGCCGCATGCATTAAAGGCAGTGGATCGGCAGAGTGGGCCCTTCT